GAGAGATTCCCATTGCTTCCACTGCACTTCGGATGTGGCCCTGCACTTCTCCCATCAACAGGAAAAACAGTTTCTGAGTTTCTTATTTAATTCGGAGAACAAGTGTTTCCTCTTTCTGTGGAAATGAGAAGCTCACTGGTTCCATGTATTTAACTTTCTGTTTGTCCCCCCTTGTCTGCGTTCCCTGGAGGGTGCTTGAACTCATCAGTGGCCTGAACCAGGGTGCAGGATGTAGGAGCTCCTGGCCGTGGACCAGACCGCTGTGATGGTTGACTACCCAGGGCACATACTGTATCTGCTTGCTTGCCTTTGCCTTGACAGTGGATGCAGAACAGTGACATTCTGCTTGGCAAGGCAGATGACGAAGAAGAAGGATTTTTAAGGTTGGTTTTGTTTTTCCCAAAAGGGGAACAAAAGTACAGACTTCCCCACCCCACAGCCTGTGAAAGCTTTCATGAGTTCCTGCTTGTGGGGCTGGGGGAGGAGAGGCCCACCAAGGTCTAGTGCCTGTCCTGGTGAGCTGCTGGGGGTATGCTCTCCCCTCTTCTCTGTTTTCCAAACTGCTCTTTCCTGCTCCACTTCTCCAGCTGCTCTGCCCTGCCCTGCCATGGCACTAGTAGCTGAGCAGCTCTGTCAGAGCCTGTTCGGTGACCCTTCCCTGTGATGACCCTTGGCTCTTCAAGGATGTTGTCCTGCTTTTGCTTGCCACAAAGCTGCACAGATTCATTTCGACACTTCCTTTTTGGCCCAGTGATCTGCTCTTCTTGCAGCAGTGCTGTTGCTATATTTGAACCTTTTCAGCAGATGACTTGGAAAAAGTGACTGGCTTTCCAGGGGACCTTGGAGGAGACCAACGTGCACATGTCCCAGCTCCGGAGAGAGTATGATTCTTCCAAGCTTGGTCTTGCAGCTTGAGAAATGGGGAGAGAAGATGTGTGGGCAGAATGATGCGTACCTGAGTATTAAACAAGGAATTAGCCATGCTTCACGCTCTGAATGATAGTTTATATAACCAAATCATCCCAGCTTACCCTTCTTAATGTTATTGTGTAGCGTTGCTGACCCAGAGGTAGTTTATAGGCTGCTTATACAAGAGCCTTTGCAGGCTTTTGAGTTCTTTTGGGATTAAAGGACCTGTAGACATGCAAGAGGTTATTTTATTTATTAATCATTTATTAGCTCGCTGGGCCAGCTCTGCGCAACACCTAGTGTCGCCTAGCTTTCCCAGAGACTCAAAAGACTTTCTTGTTTCTCTGCTCATCATGTCTGCTGCCCCTGGATTTTGAAGGGTGTGGGTAAGCGATATTTCTGTTCGTCTGTCAGGCTCATGTTCGAGGTAACCGTGCTTTACAGAACGTGGGAGGGCTGAGCCATGGACCTTCTAGACAATGGGAATTTGCTTTCAATTTCTGGGGCTTGTGTGTGATGACAGCTGCTATGACAGAAAGAGCTGGAGCAGATGGTGTTGTGTACATCTGTAAAAATAGACCTGCCATGTGTCTGAAGGAGAAGCTTACACTGCTGACATGTGAATCCAGAAGCATTTGCTTCTAGCTTCTTCAGAGGCAATTAAAATGTGTTCCACTTCCCACCTGGACATTTTTTTCTGTTCAGTATAAACATGTTCCTAGTTGATCTTTAGATGCAATGAGCTGCTTATTGTGTGCTAAATAACAGTGCAATGGAGGTTCCAAATAGGCAGTAATGATCGTTATTCATCACGTAATACAAGGAAATATTTTTTTAATGGAATCATACATTTGGAAGCAGTTTCAAGCATCATCTAGTCCAGGTCTCCGCGCAGATGCAGGATTTGCTGTTCCAAACCCACCCCCAGCCACGAAAGCAGAGCCAGAGTCTCAGGATGGAATTTCCTTGCATTGCATAACTGCATATTTGTTACCGAGCTGTAATGTGAAACTATAGTTAGTTCTGGGAAAACCTCAACCTTTAGAGGTGTCAAGGAGGACCCCAAGTTTCGGGGCATGTTCCAGTTTCCCAAATCTGTTCCACAGTCCTAGAAGCGGTTCATTCTGCAGGGCAGCTTTGGCAGGAAGACATGAGCACCTCTTTGGGCATAAGGAATTGCTAAGAAATTGTTCAGATCCTCTCGCTGATTCTCTGGAAATTGGCTTGCGTCAAGCAAAGGCCAAAATGTTCAAACTGCCCCTAGCTTCAAACAGCATGAGGCTGATTTACAGAGCTGCTGAGCTCTGAGAACTGCACGTAAAGTCTCTCTGGAAACTGCTGACGTTCAGCACCCCTGAAAGTTAGGCAAGTATCTAAGTATCTCCTTGTCTCTGTTTCTGTGTATAAAATGGATGCAGTTGATCAGCATCACCAGTTGTTGTGGGGCTTAATTGATTCCTATGAAGCTTTGGGAAATCCTGGGGTTGAGGACAGCAGAAGCTCAGGAATTTTATTTAGACAACCACAGTCCAGCCTCACAGCTAGCTGCTCGCAGAAGTCCTGCTCCATGCCATTCGTCTCCGGGGATGTGACGTTTCTGTGCTTCGTCATTTTTTGTTGATAATTTGTCCTAGTCGTTGTGGCTGCTGTATAGGAGTTGTGCCCTGCAGTTCTGCTTCCGATCTGGGACTGTCAGCAGTTACGCGGGGAGTCCCTTCAAACCAGAACTGACAGATCAGCTCCTTGTGTTTGCAGCAACCTAAAAAGCACCATCAAATTTTACACGTAGAGGCCCCTTTCCATCAGTGCACCAAATTCTTCATTTTCAAAGCAACCTCAGACCCTCGTCTTATTCTCTTTTCTGCTCTCAGACCCGGTGGCCTGCAGCCGCAACCAAATAAGATGATTTTTTCCAGGAAGGCTCCTGTCAGTGTCCATCCTGATTCTTTTCTTGCGTGAGCCGGAGGGGGATGTTGTGGCCTGATAAAATACCACCTTTCCTTGAACCTCATTCAGGATAGCACAGAGAGAGTGCACCTGCCTGAATATCCTCGCTACATCCTGGTAGGGCAATCGCTGAGGCTTTCAGCCTGGTTGTTCTCAGTTGATTGTTAAAGAATAGTGGTAGCTCAGTGCAAAATTAGCAGATGAAGCGTTAAAGACTTGGGACCTCTGTTTTTTGTCAAGTTGTACTTGTTGTGCTATGGTTTTTAGTTTTCCTTGGGACACAGTGGGTAATGTCCTTCCTTCATGCCTTTTCCAAAAAGCCCTGCAGGTGCACTCCTCCCTGGGTCGTAGCTGGACACTCACTTCACCTGTCCTTTTGAATGGCAGGGATAGAAACACTAAGCTGCCCTTGCTCCGGAGTGGGTTTCCCCCTCCCTTGCCTGCGTCGGATTGTCATCACAGAAGCATGCCACTGCCTTCAGCTTTCTGCGATTCGTGTTTTTGTCAGCAGTGTAACCATGGTGCTGCTCAGGAAAACCTTGCCTCAATTAAGGCTGTTAAAACCAGGAGGGAACTTTGTGTTTTATTGTCTAGATCTTGGTTTGCTTTGTAATTTGGCACAGCCTGGTGGTTCAGCTCTAGTCCATTGTGATCACAGACTTTAGCAACTGGCCTTGTTACTCCTCAGTTGGATTCCTGTGTGCGCCAGCCCCTGCCTGCTCTCTCTACCGGGGCTGCTTCCCTGCACCCTAGGACGCAGGTTATAACCTAGCCCTGAGACTGGCACTTCCTAGTTTTCCCTGTATCATCCCAACTGCCTGTGGATTGCCTGCGGTCACAACAGCATCTGCTGGACGTCCTGCCCCTCTGTGAACCCCTTCTTCTGGGTCTGCTGTTATAAAGCACGTGGTACTAGAGTGACTAGTGCAGGATGAGGAGTGCTGCACACGGAGCACCATCTGGAAATGGATATACCAGTTTACACCAGATCCATATGCAGGATCTAGTCCTCTCTCTCTGTGCTCCGTCTCCCGACTCATCAGAAAACACTGCTGGCCTGTAAAGTGGTGACTCTGGGTAAGTGAGTGTCCAGCTGAAGCTGCGAAGGAGAATGCATTAAAGGGCTTTTTAAATGCCTTGGTTCAGAGTGGAGTCCTCAACGTGTTCAAGTTGCAGTCTGCTGTTGCTTTTAACCTTTCAAACTGATCTCTGGAGTCAGGGCTGGTCTGGTAACTGAAGCGCATTTGGATGTGATGTTGCTTAACACACACAGTCAGGAATCATTTCCCCGTAGTTGCATGTGAATCGACGCAGCCACGGACTTCTGGACGATAAACCGAGCGGCACTGGAATTGGCGGCACTGCCAAGTACAATTGCAGCCTTATGTTCATATGTGAATGTTGTGACCCTGCTTTGCGCCAGAACAATAAACCATTGTTGTGCAGGTTCATTCCCTCTCCTCATTTAACACTTTATTAATGAGATGATAAACCCCAGGTCAAGCCTTCTCCTTTGCCTTAGCTGCCCTTGGGATAAAGCAGCTCCAGACCCTAGGTTTGTCTTTCCAGAAGGGCTACTCCCTCTGTCCTCAGGTGCGTTAATGAGATGTACCCCCCACGGTGAATCAACAGAGCTTAATGATCATCTGCTCACAGGGTGTGTCCTTGCACAAAGTGGAAAGGACTTTTCTTTTACCTGGAAGGACCCGTCACACTTTCTACAGCGTCAGCATGAGATGTTGAACAATCCCACCCACGTGTAGCAGAAAGCATTAGCTCCAGCCACAGGTCAAAGTTGATGGCTGTGGTACAGGCTGAGATCTTGGAGTGCGCGGGTTGAACCTGAGACTGTATAGGATTTCCCTAAACACCGGGATTACTTGTTCTTCTTATACTTGGCCGTCTCGCGGACAACTTTAGGAGTTCACTTTTTACACCCTTTCGATCAGCATTCTCTTGTCAACTGAGTGGCGGTTTCTTTTTTATCATCAAAATGGGAGTTGATTGATTCATTCTGCAAATGCTCTGCCAGCTATTTGAGCTTCCTTCCTGTCATCAGCAATGAAATGGAGCAAAGAAAAATAAAACAGAGTTTGTATCAGATCAGTACAGAGCAGGGAGGAAGGGGCAGGGTGACTAGTCACAAAGCCACAGCCCTATTACTGCCCTGGCTAGCGGCTTATTGACTTTCCCTTGTAATTACTGTGCTTCTTGGACTTACATTTCCAGACAGTAATGTTCTGTGCTTCACAACAGAATTAGAAACTTGCTTAGAAACTACATTGTTGTTGACAGATCGTGGCTTTACTCAGGGCGTCTCTCTTTGCAACTCCTGCTTAAAAATGCCGGTCTTCAGCTGCAGTCACCCTGCTGTGTTCACTGCCCAAGCCCCTTTGCCAAGCCCTCTTCTTCCTCCCTACATCTGTGCACCTGCAGGTCAAATGAGAACCCAGCCCTCGACCGCCCATCACGTCGTGCCTTCTCCAGAGCTAAGGGGCAGGTACTGTGCCGGGCACAGCACGCAACGCTTCATTTCCTGGGGTGCTCTGCTTTTCTGTGCTGCATTGACGAGGAGGGTTTGCTCATCACGGTGCTGTTCATAACATGCTGCTCCAATTCTGTCCCTGTTGTGAAGCGATCACATTGTGCCTCATGCAATCTCTGTTCAAGAAGATGATGGTGATAATACACGTGGGTGGCGATGGATCGGCCAGCCTGCGTGCAGTTCGTTAGCTCTGTCTTTGCAGTTACACGTTTCACTGGCATGCCACCCGTCTCAGATGAGTATCTTGGCAATTCTTTACTTTTGTCTCATTTTATAGACTCATTTCTCACTGTGGCTGGCTGAATGAGAGGCATTTGGTTCAAGGGACTGGACTGGGTCTCTGGAGATATGGGTTCGTGGTATCCTCTGACACTTCCAGTGTGTCTTGAGCAAGTCGCATAATCTTCCGGTACCACGACTTTGTTAAATGGAGCGTCTTTTTCCCTATTCCATCAAGGAGTTGTGAGAATAAATTCATTAGTGCCTGTGAGATAAATAGCAACGAATGGTCTCAGCATAAATGAATACCTGTTATAGGTTTGGTTGACTTTGGGATGATGGTATGGCAGGGTTCCTCATATCCCGACTGGCTTTAAGACGCAACTCAAGTGAGCAAGTGTTGTGGCTTTATCTTGCTCATGCCAAGCATTTTCAGTTTTGGGTATTGGTCAAGTTATATTTGTCACGGCTAAAAATATCTTGGAGAACAAAATTCTTTTTTTCCCCCTTTTTTTCTTTTGGCTGAGGGATAGGAAAAACTATTGAGCTGACAGTCCGGAGCTGGTTTCTCACTGACCCCCATATGAAGTCAGCAGAGATGGCAAAGGACAGTGATGCACTTCAGTCCAGATACACTACTTATTTTCAAACAGGGAGTCTTTTCAGATGGCATTTTCTGGCCTAGTCCCTGTGCCATTTATTATTTTCAGAGTCTTACTGGAATTAGACCAAGAAGGCCATGATGCCCTTTCATTTTGACACCGCCACCTTGTCGCTGACCCTTTCTGGCTCCAAAGCCAGCCCCGTATCGAAATCGAGGGGAGATTTGAGTATGGTCCCTACATTGCATACCTGAGTGACTTCATTGTCTGTGCATGCATCACCGAAATAACACAACTTGCCTCTCGGGAGGAGAAACAGTTCGTTTAGACGAGAATATCCGTTAGTCATTTGTTATTGTGAATGGCAGAAAGCTGTGCCTGCTGGTGATAGCTTGGAGCCGGAAGAGGTCAGAGCCACGTGGAAGTGGGCAATGGAAAAGTCCTGTTACCTGTATTCACTTAGACTGGGCTGAGCAGATTGGATAATGTTTTTGAACAATATATGTTTAGGGGCCTTGCGTGCACCTCTGACCATCCAGCTGTGTCGTATACTTGCAAAGCTCAGAAAAACGGAGCATGATCGCTTCCTAAATAGATGCTGCTGTAGCAATTTCCATGCTCAAAGGCTTCGAGACCTGAATGGGGCCGTCTCTGCTTCTGGGTGCATCCCGAGAGAGTTGGGTCCAAAACCCGGCCTCTTCCCAACGAGCTGGGACCCAAAGTCCATAGCTGACTACTCTGCAGTAAAAACAGCCAGACGAAGGATCTTTTTTGTGATGAGCTCCCCTTGGTACCTCATTGGCTTCCTGTAGGTCTGCACCGGGACAACCTGGCACCTAGAGTGAGGGTTTGAGGGTTGCATAGTCCAGAGGCAGCCACTGCATTTAGCCCTCAGTTGGAAACAGATAACATGAAACCTCCCTGGTTATCTTTTATGATGCAAGAGCAGTTGCCTTATAACTGTTGCTTACATCCTGTGTTCGAATTGCTGTGGAAAAACAGATGCCTCGTCCTAAAGCTGGATGCAGACCAGCCCCCTGGATCTGAATGTCCTAGGATGCCAGTCCAGATCAGAATTTTGCAAGCGCTGCTGTCTCTTTAAAGGCTCGAACCGAAACCCCGGCTCTGAGCATTCCCAAACTTCAGCATGTTGGAAATCCAGACATCGAGCTGAGTGTTTTTTCCACCCCCCATCTCAGTTTGACCCTACATCTGCCCGATTCATCTCTGCAAAGACCTCTTTTGGCCTGCTTTCTCTCTCTCGGTGCACAGGATGTGCAGTCGGCATGGTGTTCTCAGCCTTCGACTCTCCGGGGAGCTGTGGAGTTCAACTCCTTAGCCCCCTTGCACGGTAGATCATGACTAAATCCCTGTTTTAATGTAGCCCCTTCCTCTCCCACCCTTACACAAATTTTGGAGGCAATGTAGTGGGTGAAGAATATATTTTAGTACTGCTGGATTGAACCATTAGGACTTTGGGGAGCTGCATGAGGGGTGCAGCTCCTGTAACTTCCTGCAGAAAACACCTCCTTTTGATGCCCACCTCCCTATTTTTTCCTGCAGTATACATGCTGCACAGTTCAGCTGATCAGATTATGCAGACTAGACAGGCTTATCATGTCATCTATCCAGTGTACACTTGTGCTCTGAGGTCTGGAGGAATACGTCCGGGAAAGGACCCCTTTCCTGCCTTGCTAAGAGCACTGAAGCCCTTTGCATCTCTGAGCTTGGGTATTAATGATTCCTCTTGGTACAATGGAAATATAATATTTCTCTTCCCCTGAGCAAGCAAGTGTGCATATGTGTGTGCGTGTGTGTGCTGAATGCCAAAAGCATTGGTGAAGCCAGCTTGCTTCCGTATGTGAATCATTTCTCAAGCAGCTCTCTGTGTCTCGTTGCAATGTGGTTTTCCTCTCAGGGAAGCGCTGAAGCCCTGAATTCTCAGTCTGGTTTGCACATGCTGTCAGAGGCTAGCGGGAGACGGTTTTCTTTTTAATACGAGGAGGAGACAAGCTTTCGCTGTAAGTATTTCATCCTTTTTTTTTCTCTGTAAGGTGGGAATTAGATGGTCTCTAGCAGGGTTTTGTGGAGGGAGGTGCATTCTTAAAGCAAGCCGGACCTTGTTTGCTCAACACCTGGCTGCAATGTTGACTCTAATTAATACTAGATTGGATGAAGCTGTAGAAAATGTAGGGTGGGGAGCAGTCCTGCATTGGCAGGGAGTGGGACTGGATGACCTAATAGACATTAGCAATAGAAAAAGCCTGTGATCTTTGCAGAGCTAGCTACTGTATATGCTTCTGCTGAGCTGCATAGAGTTATTGACTGAGAGAGGACTAAAGCTGTCACGGTGCCTGCCTCTGCTTTCTGCTCTCCTTGGAGTGAGGGAGCGTGTTCCAGCAGCTGCATCAAACAGGAGAGCTAACAGGCTTTCCCTATGCTTTTCGGAGCCCAGAAAGGGCACGAGAGGAGCAGGCTGCCGAGCAAACAGGTTCAGGAAAAAAAAAAATTGGCAGCTGGCTGCTCTGCAGTGACAAGCAGTACAGACACGGGGGGTGGCACGCAGGAGCCATGCCCTCTCGTGCCACCTTGGCACGGGGCTGTTGAGCATCTCTGTAGGAACCTCTGATTTCAGCAGCGTGGTAATTGGCTGTACAGATGTGCTCCGGGCTGAATCTGGATCCTAACAGCAGTCGCAGGTACGGTGTTCAGCATTTACATAACACGCGGCAGGTTTGCAGAGCTGTACAAATGCTTGTTAAGCTCTGTGTTCATCACAGAGTGGCACTGGATGGCAAGCCAAAACCTCTTCCCTTGTTATGCCCAATCTGCTTTTTTGTTAGATGTGCTGCTTAAACTGGGCTGTTTTACTGGCGTGCTCTCTGCCTACAAACTGGAAATCGTTCTCTTACCCATTTGGGTCTGCGGTGAGGACGGGCTATTTGACTCATTTAAATCTACTGCTCTCCAGGAGCATACTCTGTTGACTATTTAGTAAGAGTCGTCCTGTCCTGTCTTTGGTGCGTTTCTGTCCCAGCCCTGACCCCCTACCCTACTGCTTGGTTCTCCAGTGGCTCCATTATGCAGCCCCTCCAGAACTGGGCTTTCAAGTCCTTGGAGATCCACAGGTCATGGTTTGCAAATCAAAAACCCCGCTGTTTGAATCCAGCCAACGCTGTCCGTGTGCGGAGTGAACGTTAAAAAAAAATGGAGAAGTTTTGATGTTTCTCTTGCAATTTTAGGATATGCAAATGGCTTCCTCTCCCCAAAGAGACCCTGCAGTCTCCTACAAGTTCACAGTGCTGCCCGTTGATGATCATTTCAGAGTTAAAGGGCCAAGTATATTCACATTTTTAAATAGGCTGCTGCGTGCTTTTATAGAGCACAAATGTCTCCTTTCAGAGCTCAGTGCTGTGGGGGGGTTGGATGGAAATTAGGCACAGGGACTGTCCACCACATGACGGGCCAGGGTTATTCACCCATGCTCTAGGAGTGGGAGAGGCTGACTTGCCTTTTTATTTGTGCTTCTCTCTCTTTTCTGAGGGACTCCGTAAGGCACGTGGGTGTTTCTCCCACATCAAAAGCTGATCTTCAAAACAGGCTTTTCAGTGGCTGAGACGTATCCCTATTCCACAGATGGTGAATTACAGTAATTCATAGGAAGGCTACACGACTTGTCCAAGGTGGCACAGGATGTCTCTGATGGAGCTAGAAATAGCTGGCCCATGCACCACATGGAAGAGAGCAGCTGGGCTGCTTTGCCTGGTACACGTAGTGGTTGGGATTATTACGTACTTGCCTGCTACGTGCGGCTCCCAATCTAGAACGCGAGGCAATTCCTTTTCTCCCATCTAAGCATATCTGCCCCATATGCTACAGGATAAGGGCATATGACAAGGCGTTGCTGAGCAAAACAGTGATGATTCTTCCCTTTTCTAGCTGTTAAGCATCTGCGGCCTATGTAAAGAGAGCTGCCTTCCCCTTATTGTGGATTAGTAAAACGTACAATATTAACCCTGTGTCTTCTGCCTCTTGCTCCACTGCTAGGATGGTAGTCCAAAGAAATGGGCTCTGATGACTCCCTTTACCCCAATGTTTTTGCAACCTGCCTATGTTATACTTCAGGGAAATTAAACCTCCTGCTCCAGCTGGGGAGGTGTCAGGGAAAGCTCAGAGTGGCTTCACTTTTTTTTTTTTTTAAGGTTACAGCCTGGATTTTAACTTCCGGCAGCTAGGAAATTTGGAATCCAGGTATGACTTTCCATCTCCCTGTCATCTTTTTTTGCCTTATGTCACTGAACAGGGGCCATGTTCATTATATAATCTGAGTCGCCTTCAACCTGGGGGCCTGAGCTGAGCTGAGCTGACGCGGGACTTGCAGCTGCAAAAGCGGTGTCTCTTGGCTTCTGTAGAATGAAACTGCCTCCTGAATGTAGTTTTTTGTGCGCTGTGATTATGTTTGGCATAAACTGTATAGCCTTGTTGGCTGCACGCAGCCACCGCAGGCTCTGGAACGCACCATTGCATCCTGCCTGTGTGCACGTGCGTTCACACTAAGGCAACTCTTGTTTTTCCCTCCTCCCTCTTCATGCTTTATTGATGCTTTATTGCTGCATTCCTCATGTGGCTCTGTCAATACTTGGCTAGCACTATGTTCAAATGCAAAACCTTGCCCCAGAGTAAGAAAAAGATTATACCAGCCTCTTGTTCAATCCAGCACTTGTCACTTCTTAACCAGGTCATGTAAACACCATGGCCTATTTGTACAGAGAGCCAGAAGCAGTATTTGACTTATGCTTTAACAGATCACCATGCAGCTGGTGGTTGCCGGCTGCCAAAAAGCTTTCCCAGCTTGTCAGGCTTTTGTAGCCTTATCGTGACTATCAGATGATCAGGCTGGAGAGACGGACCAACTCCAGCAGGGTAGCCTGGGTTAGATAACCAGTGACGGTGAGCGAGGGGAAGAACTGAATGTCTGCGTAGAAAGGGGATTACTGAAGTTACTGGAGGGGAAAACTCCTAGACGCTTTGAAATAACCTTTTGGCTTGACCCTCAATTGCTCTGCTAGGTGATGTGTAGACTTCTCATCTAAGACAGATCCATGTGTTCTAGCTGATGAGTAGGAAACTTTTCCTGCACCCCATGTTATGGGCAGGAGTGGAACTGAATATAAGAGAAATCAGACTGAGTATATCATAGAAAATGAGGGTGGGAAGGGACCTCAGGAGGTCACATCTAGTCCAACCACCTGCTCCAAGCAGGACCAGCCCCAACTCGATCATCTCAGCCTCTTGTCCATATATCCCGTGCCCTTGTACAGAACGAGGCGTTTGGTTCCTTTCTTGCATCCAGCTGGAAAATGGGGCGTATTTGGGAACAAGGAGTTCATACATTGCAGGCTCAAGGGAAAAGCTGTGTAGAATGGGAGTGGGCAGAAGGCCTGCTTCGTTGCCTGCCCGGCCGTGTCGGTAAAATCATAGATGACCCCCTGGTAGCTGAAGGAAGGGTGTTTATACTAGGTACAACACTGAATCCATCCAGAGGTGTATAGGGCCTAGAAGTCTTGCTAGGATGGCTTATCTTAGTTGATACCTACCCTTTACAGTTACTTAGAGTTTTTTCTGTCTTTGATTATAATGTACAGGCACTTCCTAAGGGTCCGTGGTGCCCTTGTAAATAAATACCTTTTAAGTATAAATGATGGAAAGGAGGTTAGGAAAGAACATGATCAGCCTTAAACACACAAAAGATAAACAACGTCTGGAGACTCAGCAGTAGGCTCATAACCTAGTCCCAAGACCACCCCATCCACACATGGTTTCATGGTTATCCTTGACCATGGATAACCACCTCCAGTCATCCTATTGCTCTATTTGGGGGGGTCATTCATTACCCTGAAGCTACAGAAGAGCTACTGTGGTCCAAAAACTTGAGCACAGGGCTAGGCCTACTGCTCATGACTCTACTACTGATGCCATGTGTGGCTGTAACTCCTCTGTGTCATTTCCCATCCATAAAATGGTGATATCTTAATCTACGATTGTAACGTATAGCAACGTCTTGGATTGAAATGTGCTTTTGAGTGTCTGGTTTCATCATTATAGCACGTCCTTCTGGACTCCTGGAGGTAAAAGGCTGTGCTTGAAGCATGGCTATGACTAACACAAACCTTCTTCTTGCTATTACTTGCAGGTTTTCAAGTCATTTCATGTGTCTTAGTATCTTTTTAATGAGGCATGAAAAGGCCCCTTCTTAAGTGGTGAAGAAATGGTGCTGGTTGGGAATTTTGACCCTGTAAGCTGGTGTGAGGTGTGCGGTGTATGTAGTAGGTTTATGCTCCTCCCCAATGCCGGTGCCCAGCAAGAGTCCTAAGAGCATTAGCTATGAGCTGCTGTTGCAGTGTGCGCATTGCTGATGTGAGCTAAGCTTTGGGCAAGCAAAAATGCAGCCAGGTTTCCACTTGTGAGGATTACACAGGGACAGCCAAGGAGATGCTGAAAACTAGGCAGGATAATACAATTTAACTAAGAAGGAATGACATTGCCCTCTTGCAAGGGCAAGTGACTGTCTAGAATAAAGGACGCAACAAATCTAGAACTGATGCACACTGGGCTGGGAGGGACTGGGGCTCTAGAAAAGCAGATTGAGATGTGGTTAGGAAAGTAATGGAAGGTTTTATTTTTAATTAAAAGCTCATCCTGGTTTTAAATGGTTGTATCTGTGCAGCCAGTCTCCAAGTTGGCACCTGTCATGTTGGACTGTCATAGTCTGTGCATTATGACCCTGGCTTGAGTCCTGGTATCAACTAAGAAGTCAAGATGAGTCATATGCAGGCATCTGTCAAATCTACAAGTGGTGCTTTTTAAGTGGGTTTATTGGCAAGGCTGAAAAAAATGTCCCCGTCGGCTGTCTTGGCTGTGCTACCACATCACATCCTACGCTCCAGCAGGGAATCCTTGACAGTCTCCTGGACCGGTTCGATCTCTCTCCCTTCCGGCTGATGGCAAAGCGAGGAAGGGT